AGGGTTTTAGAAGTTTACAAAGGTTTTTGAAGGGTTTACAAAAGTTTTTAAAGGTATTACAAGTTCTTTAAAATGGGTTTTAAGGATTTACAAGGGTTTTTAACGGGTTTTATAAGTTTACAAAAGTTTTTATTAAATGATTTATCACGGTTATAAGTGGTTTAAAGGGATTTACAAGTGTTTATAAATGTTATAAAATGATTTACAATGGTTTTAAAAGGTTTACTCAAGTTTTGAAAGGTTTTGAATGACTTTTAAAAGATTTACAAAGGTTTTTAAAGGATTTTTAAGGGATTTATAAATATTTACAAGGTTTTTTTAAGAAATTGCGGAAAATTTTTGGCGGGAAATTTTTTTGGCGGGAAAATTTTTGCCGAAATATTTTTGGCGGGAAAATTTTTGTCGAAAATTTTTGGCGGGAAAATTTGGCGGGAAAATTTTCGGAAGGAATATTCTTTTTGTTGGAAAGAATATTCCTTTTTCATCATGGGTTATAATAAAGGAGGGTAATTTAGTCATTTTGTACATTGAAGAGGGTATTATTGAAAATGAACACCTAGAGAGGGTATTTGTAGAAAAGGGTATCATAATAAAGGTTAGTTGTGCAAATCTCCCAATTTTATTTTGTTAAAAAATTACATACTTTTGAAATTAAAATAAATATACATGAATATGTGAGAAAGAAACAAACATCCAATGTAAAATAATGAAGCTGGTTTCTTTAGCTTGATTTTCTTATAACCATAAAATATTATTATACATATGTATTACATTTAAAAATATAAAAAACAATGAAGACATAAAGAAATACATAAAAACAAAAAATAAATAAAATTGAAAAAAAAGTTTAAACTAAATAATTAATCAAACTCTTACAATGATATTTTAAATGAGTTTTCACACCATGGAAGAACTTAAAAAAAAAACAAAGAAAATAATGAAGATATGAGATATGGTAGAGAAGGATGTGAGAATGGCTATTTATATGATAAGAAGTGATGTAAGTTACATTTTTAAAATAATTAAATTAGAGAACTTATAATTATAATTTATAGTGTGTTTAATTGGAATTCAATAAAGAAAACCAATAGTTTTTGGAAATTTATATAATTTTCAGTTTCATTTTAGTAGTAAAGTGTGAAACGTAATGTATATGATTAAATATGTTTTTTTGGTTTAATTAAAAATAAATATTATACTTTAAAAAATAAATACAAAATGGAACAATAAAGAGAGTGAAACCTTACTTTTATATATATATGATTTTAAATAATTTTCCACCAATAAGCCTTATAAAATTTGTTGTATGATATATGATTAAGTCCTTTCATTTTCTTTGCCATTTGATTATAACTTATATTGTAATTAAATTTTGTATTGAATGATTGTCATAAACATTTATTTATTTATTTATTTTGTTGAATGATATATGATTAAGTCCTTTCATTTTCTTTGCCATTTGATTATAACTTATAGTGTGCTTAAATTTTGTATTGAATGATTGTCATAAACATTTATTTATTTATTTATTTTGTTGAATGATATATGATTAAGTCCTTTCATTTTCTTTGCCATTTGATTATAACTTATAGTGTAATTAAAATTTGTATTGAATGATTGTCATAAACATTTATTTATTTATTTAAAAAAAAAAATTAAAGCCTTAAATATTTTTCCACCAATAAGGAGAGAATGAAACCTTACTTTTATATATATGATTTGCTTAAAATTATCTTTTAGATATAGTTTTTTTTGGATTTAACATAATTTGTTTTTTGAGTTTATTTAATAAATATTAAGATTGCATAATACCAATTTTTAAAAAATAACTTTTATTATACATGTTTTTTTTGTCAACAATAACTATAGAACTGGCTTATAAAAGCCAATTAGAGGAAAAATTGTTCACATACAGAACAGAATGCGGAGTGGAACGGACATTCCGTACCAACTTATCCGCTTGGACATTTGCATTTCGAGAAATAAGAGACAGTGAAAATGTAGAAAATTCCTCCTTGTCGACAGTTATATCATCAAGATATACAGAAAACGACGGCCACTCGAGCGGGGAAGACACCATCTTCCCAAGACCCGAAAAGTTTGTAAGGAAAGCAACATCTCTGAAATTATGCCCGATCATACATCGCATCGCCCACACAAAAGATTCTACTTCAGAATGTAAATGTAAAGGTGAAAGTCTCCGTTGAGAGTTTTTTGCTCCCATAGTTGTTGAGCCATCCTCAGCGTGCTGGCAGAACCATCGTAAGCCTGAGAATTTACATGTGTCCTTTCAGGAGCCATCAATGAAGCACATGTACCCTGTAAAATACAAAGATAATCTATGTCCACGAGGTTGTATCCGAGGAATTTCCGATAAAGGGTGCCGATCGAGCTCCACATCTTCAACTTGGGCCTCTTGCCAGGTCTTTGCCTCATCTTTCGCAATCTTAACCACGTCTAGCGGACTCTCATCCCCACTATTAAACACATTTTCATTTCTAGCCTTCCATATATACCATAATAACCAAGGATAGAAGCCATTCGTCAATTAAAGGCAAATCGAATAGATAAGCCATATTAGCATAAACCGAGTTTGTCGGAAAGTTATTCGGGCC